ATGAGATGATGTATGTATGGATGATTGTCACAAGTCCTAATTTGGTTGAGGGTTTGCTGAGCCAAATTCATTGGAACAGCAGGTGACACGATCAGGTGGCACCAGGTGGCACACAGAGCTCCATTCGATTGGGGAATAGTTGGATAACACACAAGTCATAAGGAGATACTTTACCTTTAGATACTTTCACTGAAAGTATTAGAAGGTTGTACTTCTCCCATGATTATCGGGCTTCGGGCTATCGGAAGGTGTACCGATACCGATTGGTATCGATTATTCATCAATCATTCCAGTAGCACGTATAGCAATCCAGAAAGTTGAATTTTAACCATCATTTGTCTAATTTGTGGGTACTACGAATAGTAACACTGCCAGTTTTAGTCGAAGCTAAGTATCTATCGATTAACGATGATCATTTTTCGATTACTCATCGATTATTTATCGATAATACATCAATATTGATGGATTATACGCCGATTACTTATCGGTAATTAATCGATTTCTTATATAGTTTTCGGAACAGTTAAAGGAGAGAGCGATGCTCAATGCTCAATGGATTTCGAAGATTATTTGTGGGGGAAGGGGACTTTAATCTGTCCCCAGACTTTCCCCAATAGTCCTCAACGGCTTCGACTTCGAATAGATGCAACTGCAATCCACGCATCTTCTACTATCCATCCATCCATCCATCCATCATGCCACAGGAAGAACTCCAGTTTGCCGACTCATTCAATTTGTTTATGAATCGCAGAAGCACAAACAGAAAAAGAAGAAGAAAACCTTCATTATTTATATGTGCTTATCGCAGTGATAAAACCGCTTCAACGGCATTCGCGCAGCCCGGAGCTGCTCGGCATTTTCCCCTCGCCTTTCTTCGGGAGGGAAAAACAAATCATTAAATGCATCTTCTCTGGAGACAGAGACAGAGGGAGGGACCGCGGAGGGACCCCCTCCCCTCCCCGTCTCCTATCAAACGCCTATTCAGTGGAGCACCTGTCTTCACCTGGCGGCCCAGAGGCGCCTTTGGAAATTGCGGAAATGCCACAGCTTCTGCCTCAGCAATGGAACGGTCAATGGTTCGGGTTTGGGCTTTGGGTTTGGGCTTTGGGTTTGGGCTTTGGGTTTGGGCTTGGGTTTGGGTTCCGTTTGGTGGGTAGCAGCCGCAGATTATTGACACAACAATAAAGATGCACAACAATCAAAATAATACAAGATTTACAGCACAACACAACACAAGACAAAAAATGAAGATGCGCGATGCGCGATGGTAGATGCTGGATGGTGGATGCCACAAAAAAGTGCAATGAAAATGCACAATAAAATAAATAAGCGCATAAAAAGGTGAGCAGCGAAAATTTGCAGTAATTTGAGATTACGTTGGCATTATGGTCCGACAGGGCCCAGAGCCCAGAGCCCAGAGCCCTGGCCAGACCAGACCAGAGCAGAGAAGAGCAGAGACCCTCTGCGAGACTTTGAAGGCTGAGGAGGGGGGCGGGTGCTCTCCCCCCCGTCCAACGCGTTGCGGCAACTTTTACTGCGGCGACAGCAGAAACTCAAAAGAGTCTGAAAGTCGCAGTCGCAGTCGAAGACGAAGTCCAGTGTCTGCCACAAAAGCCGCAGCTGTTAATGAATGGCAATGGCTTTGTTGGTAATGAAGTGTTGGCCATAATGCCACGATGACGATGACGACAACCGCCATCAGCAGCAGCAGCAGCAGCAGAAGTGGCCCACAAGACAAAGAGAGCCAATGCAGGGGAGGTGTCCGATGATGACGACGACGAAGACGACGACGACGACGACATTGACACACAGGCGTGATAAGCCTCAGATAAGAAGAGTCCTCGCTTAGTCACGAGGTTTAGCTCTGCCTTTAAATTGGTTTAGCTTTTGGTTTGCCTTTTGCTTAGGAAAATCCTTGCCCGCAGCAACCAATGCGGAAAGTGAATGAAAACAAAGGAAAATACGCATGAAATTAGCCATAAATTGGAGCAGGACAAAAGTAGAATTAAAGATAGATATACCTGGAGGAGATGGAAGATGGATTGCCCATCGAAAATATCAAGTAGAAGATTTACTTACCCAAAGAAAATGTCACCTCCTGATGGGAGCAAGCAATCCGAAGGATGGAAGATACATTTAAATGTATGACGAAGACATGATATCTCAGAGATGGAATTGCAAACTGAAGAACCTCATCTCTCTTTTACAGAAACAAAGTGTTGGGTCGTCGTCGGGCAAGGCGAGTGAGCCGAGGGTTGGCGCACGAGCGAAGCTTTAAGCTATCTAATATCTTGTAGATACCAGGACAAAGATTAGAGGACACAGATCTACAAAGAACAGCTTGGGCAGGAAAGGAATGCTCTCTCTCTCTCTCTGTCTCTCCCTGTCTGTCGCTATATCTATTTCTCTGTCCAATTTCCCAATTACTCGACTACGCGCTTCAAAGAGCAGCAGCAGCAGCGGCAGAAGTAGCAGGAGCTTAATTAGTTGGTCCAAAGTATCCAAGATTTTTATTGCAAAGCAGCCTCCGTCCATAAAGAATTCCAGCCAACAATTTTGCCAACTTCCTTGGGGCATTACGCGTACAAAACGCGCCTAACGAATGCATCTTTTTCTTCGGCGGCGAAGTGCATAAATTATATATTTCTTATACTAATGGAAAACTTTGATATGGATATAAAATATGACGTAAATTATTTTACTACTCAGCCATAAAGCTCGACGGCAGACGAGCGGCTCGCAGGAAAAACTTCCAGGAAAAAGTGCAATGTTTTTGTTTGGGCTGTAAAAAATCGAAGGAACTTGCCAAAGTTAAAGAAGCTTCGGCCGAAGTCCGACATTCACAAATCACAGAAGGAGACAGAGAGACAGAGAGAGAGAGAGAGAGAGAGAGAGAGAGAGAGAGTGTTAAGTGTGTGTGGCAAGTGGCAAGTGGCTGTGTCCGTTGTCCACTGTCCAGTGTCCAGTGTCCACTGTCCATTGGGTTTTGTAAATATTTGTCTTTGATTTAAGCGACACTCCTGCATCTGCATCTTGGCTCTTGGAGATCTGTTTTTCGCCTGTTGTTTTCTACCAATAGTACGAGTGCATGGTGTGGCATGCCCCCAAACTGCCTTGACAGCCCCCAGACACAAATCATGATTTGTAGTTGTTCCCAACTCTTTCTGCGCGCCTTCGGCAGCACGGCGATGGAGGGGCAAGGGGCACGGGGCGGAGGCGGACCCGGAGTCGGAGACGTCGACGACGTCAACAATGAAATTGTCAAGTGTTGACAAATAAATTTGAGGATTTTCGAGAAGATTTACTTATGCTAATGAAAGACACTTGTCACAGAGATCCACACATGCCTCTCCTGGCCCCCGCCCCTCTATCCCCTCTAAGCCTTGCGGCATATCTTCTTGAAGTGCGACGGAGGCAACGGCAACAACGGCAACGTTGACTCGCATAAATATGTTTGCTCTGGGAGTTTTAGAGTTTTGGCTCTGACTGTGGCTCTGGCTGTGGCTCTGGCTTTGGCTCTTGGGCTTTTGGCCAGTTTTGTTCATGGTAAAAAGTACCGTAACAAATTTGCAAAAGTGAAAGAATTTCGAGGAGCAGCAAAAGGCACTAAATTAGCAAAATGGCGAGAGAGAGAGAGAGGAGAGATGTGTTCCCGGAATGGCTGTTCGTCACATTAATATTTATGAATGTTAATGCGGCCCAAAACAGGGGGGGGGGGGGGGAAACCAACCTGTGGCCAAAGGGAGCTGCTTTTCACGGCGTTTCCCCCGCACCCCCCCACTCATCGGGGGAGGGGGGGTCGTATACATATAAACATATCTCGCATCTAATTAGAGTCCACCTGCTTCGATGAGGGTATCCATGGGATGCCTTGAACAGCATTTCACACGCTCATCAAAAACCATAAATTCCCTTCTCCGTCCCCCTTCCCCTCCCGCCACTGCTGTGTAGATGAAAAATCTCAATTGCCATCTACCTGTGAACTCTGGCCGATAAAAAACAATAAATTTGTGAAAATTGCATGCCCCAAACACGGCACAGCACAGCACAGCAGAGCGGAGCACAGCACACACCAGAAATGAAATAAATCTCAATCCTCAAAACTGAAAACTGAAAAATCCTCAACCCCGACCGATCTGCGCCTATTTTTGGGTTTAGGTGGCAGCATAATTGAGTAATTAACTCCGAAAGTCACTCAGAAACGGAACCTGTTTTGCATTTCACTCGGGGCCCGCAAAGCACTCGAGCGGCGAGCAATCAGGTTTCGGCTACGGAACGGCAATGGAACGCACCCGACGCCGGACGAAGCCAGCCGAGGGCGGACGAAGCGCGAGCCGAGACGAGCGTTCCGATTCCACGCGGGAATGGAACAACCATCGGCGCTGCTGCCTCGGCCTGCGCCCATGCTGACTGCGCTGCTGGCGGCGCTGTTATGCTGGCCACAGATTCAGATACGTTTCGTCGAGGTTCAAGATACTCTGAGTCCAAGTTGAGCGCTTTCGACGTTCGCAACGCATTTCCGCGCGACGACACCGAAGCTTGCTGAAATTTTGTCGCATCTCGCAAAAAGTTTCGTCGAATCTTTCGAATTTTCGTCGAATTTGTTCGCAAAAGGAAAATCTTAGCAAAACATTCTAAAAAGAAATAAGTCCGATTTTTTTTTAATTGTATTTTTCTGTATGTATTGTGTGTGTGTCTGTGTGTGTGTGTGGCGTGTCATTGAGATTTTTTATTTGTGCAACAACAACAAAAGTGCCTGCAACTGAGATACAAATGAAATACAAATATTTATGCTCGTAAAACGCATCTAAAATTCTATCTAGTGCCAAAGAGAAAACCTTTTTCACACAACAAAATCTAAATAAATATATAACCAAGTAAAACACAAAAAAAAAGAGGAAAAACAACAAGAAAAAAAAGGGAAAATCCATAGGTTTAATAATAGAATATTCAAATTTTGATTGGTATTCAAAAATGCACAACTAAATGAAAATCGAATAGAATACATTAACAACCGAAAAGTTGTGTGCATTTGTTCTCGGTGAGCATCGTAGCCGTAGCCGTAGCCGTAGCCGTAGCCGTATCCGTATCTTTTCCTGTGCTCTGTGGCACTCACTCTCTGTGTGGATTCTCGCTGTGACGCCTGCGCAGCAAGCAGCAAGTGGCAAGCGGCAAGTGGCAAGCAGCCAGAGTCGGCCCGGAGTGAAATAATTCTAATTGGATACCAAAACGGACACACAGGACAGGAAACGGAAGTTGGCTGCCATTTGCAGAGCCACTTGGCCAAGGTAAGTGCTTGCGATACAGATACATACACTCGCCCAAAGATACAGATGGATAATTAGCCATTCGAGCAGGAGATAATCTATCTTTTAGTGCCACAAAGTACAAATACAAAAGTATCGTGCCATAATGCTGACAAAATAGTGTCCGTCATTCTGCACGTGTGCCTGTGTGCCTGTGAGAGTTGTTTGGATCTTTTGTATCTTGTATCTGGCGCTTTTTATAGCCATGATTAAATTTGACAGTTGACAACATTTTGCCGCCTTATCTGAGTGCCTCGAATCGCTCCATTTTCCTCCTCCACTGCTCTGTCGCCTGTGTCGCCTGTGTCGCCTGTGTTGCCGGTTAATTGTGCCACAAATTTCGTATAAATTGACAATTCAACTGGCGTTTTACATGTCGCCAGGCCCGTGTGTAAATTCAGCAGACAGATTGGCATTGACCCAATGATGAGAGTGTGCTTGTTGGCCTAATGTTTTATTAACTAGAGCAATGACAGGCCACAAGACACACATTGGGCACACACACACAATGGGCGTGGATTTAATGGGCCGAAATGTTTATTTTCTTTCGAGTTTTTTTTCGTTTTTTCTTTTTTGAAGGGCGGAATCATCACAAATGAGCGGAAAAACTTAGCAGGTGATTTACAGCGACATTAAGGGCTCTCTAAATGGTCTATTTGTGAACGCAATCATGATATCATTAACATTTTTGGAGGTCTGTTTAGCGAGAGATTGAGCCATTGGCCGTCAAACTATCTTTAAGGGTTACAGGTGTATGGGAGATGGGGAGATATCTGTAGAATGTTTAGTCCCATAGCGATTGAGACCTCTGTACGGGCTTAGAGACTGTTAGAGACCCCATTAAAAAATGAGCTAAAATCTTTAGCTTTCGATAAACGGACGATTCTGAATAGATCTAGCAGAGAAATCCTTTCATTTCAATAATAAATTGAGGCCTCGATTGAACTCCAAATAAGCACAAATAAACGTTGGATAGAAGCAATCTTTATGGAGATATTTAGACAATAAAAGGATTCCTAGTATCCCCAGCCATAGAAGAAGTAATCATTCAGAAATCGAAAGGGTGCCCGCAATCTACACCTTCCTGCGAAGAGTCCTCTCTGTTTGCCCCACAAAGCGGCCATCTATCAACCCGAAAAACCGAAAAACAACCTCGTAATTGTTTAGCCAAAAGACCAGCGTTTATCGTTTTTAGATGGGGGAAGGGACGTTCCCTTAACTTGAACGTGACCCCCAAATACAAAAAACACACAAAAAAAAGTGACACAAACTTTTTCTTTGGCAAACTTTTGCTTTTCCGCAAACAAAAAGAAACCCGAACAAATTTTTCAGTCATGCAACATGCCAGTCTATTGCCTCGGAGAGTGCGGTGTGTGCAACAAGCATAAAAGTAAACATCGAGAAAATAAAGAAAATGTATAGAGGAAAAACCAAGCCCCAGCCACAGCCCCAGCCCCAGCCCCAGCCCCAAGGTCAGGCGGTGGCTCGATAAGCAGCTGCTGGCAGCGGGCCCTGAAACTGGCCCTAAGCCCCGAATCTCACGAACATTTTGTGCGCTTTACGTGTCGCCAGAAATTCTTAGAGATTTTGAAAGCATATTTGCAACACGTTCTAGCCAATCGAATGGCTCTGGCTTATGGGTCTCTCTTTTTGGTCTTTTGGTGGCGTCGATGGAAATCTGAATTCAAATGAGATTCTGGGGCCGCTTCTTTCGTTGATGTCTCCATCGTTTGTCGGCGTTTAATTTATGGGATATTCTTCATTAGGATTCTCACTGTTTTGCCCGGCATAGCATATACGAAATGTGCCTTTCATGTTTCGTTTTGTATCTTTTGGCCTGGCCTCTAATGTTTATTCAAATATGCGACATATTCCGCCATCGAGAGTCTTGATTGTCTTGGAAAAAGAAACAGCAGCAGCAGCTCTGGCTCTGGCTCTGGCTCTGTGTCTGAGCTCTTTCTTCAGTTTCTGTCTGCCTCAACTGTCTGCCCCTTCTGCTATCTGCCCCTTGTGTCTAGACAGAGAGACGCATCAGCGGAAGGAAGCCCAAGACCTGCACTTGAACTTGAGACCAGACCCTTCTCTATATGCAAACTCCTTCTCATTCTGCTTCTCCATCGCCCCCGCCATCGCCATCGCCCTCGCCCTCGAACTCTCAGGTCTCTGGGATTCTGTGTGTGTGGGTTCGCAACCCTTTTTGCATACCATATATTTCTTACCCTCCATAGCAGAAATATAAAAAATACATGCCACAAGCCTCCATGAATGAAATAAGCCCTGGACCTGCAACGAGGGTGATAAGCAGCAGACGGACGGCAACTGTTTGTCTGTGATTGTGTCTGTGTGTGTGTGTGTCTGTGTGTGTGTTCTCCCATGGCTAGACCGCACACCAGACAGCACAGCACAGCAGAGCAGAGCAGACCCGACCAGACCAGGCCTCTGACATGCCACAGAGCCCACTCCTAAGCCCCTGCCATGCCTCAGACACCTTTTGTTTTCCCCCAGATCTTGATGTCTGGGGCAAGAAGTGAGCCGCTTAGTGGCCATGCCTCCCGCCTCTCCCGACTCCCCTGCCTACTCCTGTTGCCGCTGTCAACTATTGTCAAGGCTTTAATTAGAGATTTCCATTGCGATGCCACCCGATTATGTTGATAGATTCCATGCTGACTCTGCTCATTTATATTATGATTTACGGGGAGCGACAGCCCCACTCGTACTCGAGAGAGAGAGAGAGGGGGAGAGGCAGTTGAACTTTGCCACTTAATTGAAACTTTCAGCACACGCCTACATCTTCCGCCTCCCTGCAACAGCCTGGCTGGAGCTACGCTGCGTATACGCAATATGGATGCCAAAAAGTTAGTCACTTGAACTAACTTGTGGCCCAAGCCGCACACAGACTCGCACGAATGCTAATTACACATATTTATGGCCAAATTATATTATCACTGCGACACGATAGGGCCCCAAGGCCGAAAGTTTTGATGGAATAATGAGACGCAGACAAGTTCCTTCGAAGACGTGGAAAAGTTTCGCCCAAGGGTTTCCCATTGAACGGGTTCCAGTCGGGGGTCCCTCAGCAATCGACAGAATATTATTCGTGTGTCTGTGTATCCGAAAGATACCCATAATTCAATCGGGTATTAGTGTGGTGCTACTTGGTTCATTCAGATCTAATCAGCAGATAATGCAAATTTCGCTAATTCTGCGATGAATCGTATCTTCTAGATACAGCAAAATACGATGTACCTACGGCATGGAAGAGCCCTGAAAAAGATACAGCCAATGCCCGATGCCCGATGCCCGAAACGACTTTGATATGGGGCCGAATCGGTCCGATGATGAGCTCTAATTTCGAAATTATACAAAATTGCTTTTGTGTGAAAGAGAAGCAGAACTGGAGCTCTGAATCCCTCTCTCTCTTGCTCTGAAGTGGATGTCAGTTTTGAAGCTCAGTTTCGGTTTCCAAACTTGAAATTGTCTCTCCCTCTGCGGCTGCTTTCCTGCGTTCCTCTGGCGGTTGCCCGTTGCCCCGTTGCCTGTTGCTTTTGTTGCCTTTGAGGCCCCATAACAAGTTAATTTTGATGTAAATTTTCACAGACTTCACAGCCAGAGATTCGATTCTGTGGCAGAACACAACAGAAGAGCGGAAGGGCAGGAAACCGGTTAACATAATCACTTAATTTCCTGTGATTGTGTGTGTCTTTCTGTATCTTTTGGTATGGCATTACGATGCTTTAGATGAAAAGAAGTGTCAATATTATTAAGTGATGATGTCCCCCCCCCTCCCCCTCCAGCAGCCCACCGCTATCTGCTCCGCACAAACGATGGGCAGAGGCAGAGGCAGGGGCAGGGGCACAGGCTTTTGATAAACGAGCCAATGCTGTAAATAAAAACCAACACCAGATAAAAGATACTCAAACAAAGCCCCGAACTAAGCTCCAAACTCATCCATGGAGTTGATAAATTGTATCTATATTTATGATACTGTGTGCCGCCGTTGCTGCAAATAATTTACAATGTTTGCAGCTCCACGAAGAAAAAAACTAAAATTCGGTGGCAAGGCCAAAAAGCTTGTAGAACGTAGAATAAAAAAAAATAACATGAAACAAACACACAAAAAGAAGTAGCTAAAAACAAGCGCAACAAATGCAAACACACAAAAAAGCAAACAAACAAAAAAAAGAAGAAAAAAGAAAGTTTAGAATTTTGGTAAAACGAAGTTGAAGATACTCTTAGAAAGCCATTGTTTCGATGAAAGCCATGGGATATGGAGGACTTATAGATCGAAGATACTTTAACCTAGGGCTTTTTGGAATATCTTCAGAAACAACAGAGAATTCAGAGATTGTTAAACCGATAGGCTAGATTTATAGGATATAGCAATACGATAGACTACCGAATGTTTCTCAAGTGTTTTGGGGGGTGCATCCCCTCTTCGTATCCACATCCGTATCCATCGTTTTGTGCATTTGCAAACATCTGTTTGTAATCGTCGTACCCCGTCCCCCCAAGGCAGGGTATAAAAAGTCGCTTCCAAACAAAAACAAAACGAAAAAAAAAAGAAGAGAATACAAAAAATATTGAAACAAATGCTGAAATGCTGAATTATTAGCACACAAATCGCCGGCAGCAGAGGCAGCGGGAGCGGCAGAACTACAGGCAGAGGAGGTGGCAGCGGCAGCGGCAGAACTACAGGCAGAGGAGGTGGCAGCGGCAGCGGCAGAGCTAGAAGCAGTAGAAGAGGCAGCGTCAGCGGCAGCGGCAAAGCTAGAAGCAGAGGAAGAGCGAAAAGCAGAACTAGTGGGAGATTCCTCCTCCTCCACCCTCCTCAGCCCTTGCTCCACTCTTGGATCTGGGCTCTGGGTTCTAGGGTCAGTGACGGGGACTGAATCTTTTTTGTTTTTAGTTTTATTTTCGTTGAGGCTGCTTATTCATGGCTACAGCTCCCCCGCACTCCACCCTCCACCCACCACTCTCCACTC